AGCCGGAGGGGGAGAGTACCCTCGACTGGCCCAAGCTGGGGCCAGGACTACGGTAGTCAGAAGGGCCAGGGGCTCACCGCGAGGGACGCCCAAGAGCCGGGGGCCTGGGGTCCTGACTGGCCTGGAGGTGGGCCACAGCAAGTGGCCGAAGGTCCCGGGGGCACCACACCCGAGAGGGGAACATGGCTTCGGGGGGGCTAGGTAGCCCGGATGACGGCGGAGTGGCCGCCTGATAGGAGGGGATCATAGAGGGGTCCTGTATGGATGATTCTGGGGCCCAGTGTGGGGCCGGTGATTATGTGAACACCAAGATGCCATCTGCGAGGCTTGGGCTGTGGTATTGGGGAGGATAGGAACAGCAGAGAGCGCCCCCTGACACTGGGGCACTAATGGGCAGCCTCCCGCTTAATTAACATCTTAATTGAACTTATTATCATCAAAGGCGTGGCGGGCAAGATAGGCAGGCGGGTGCCCAGAGACAGGTGGGCGGGCCGTGGAGATCGGCCCCGTGCTGGCCCCCTGTCACACATTGAAACTTTTTAATCCTCTATACCAGGGATTTTCAACCTTTTGGGGTCAGTGTTGAAACCCCCTGCTCTATACCACAGCCTAACATAGGCTACATGATTAACTGTATATTCTAGATTTCATTCACATACATCAATTGTGTTCATATAGCTACCATGACCAGGGTCCTATCTCTTCCAGCTGTACAAAGCCATGGAGAAGAACTATGATTTTTAATGTTCACTAATAAAAGTTTTAAATCTTTCCTTCACCAATGAAGATTTTGGAAAATCTTTATTGGTGAAGGCAAGATATGCTAAGCAAGTTCTAGCCTCAGGCAAGACTTGGTTGTTGTACCATTTGGTGATTTATCTATCAAACAAGTAAAGATTTCTTTCATATTTAAACTAAAATGTCACTGCAACTTTTTAAAGGCATATACTTTTTCCTAAGACATACTGTCTGTAGTTTGATTAAATGTATTCCACGGGGTCTATATGCTTTTTACTCACTAGGTTTTCAAGTTTTAGTTCTTGATTTCAGTTCATTTATATACTGTCCTCTCTGACCATATAAATATGGGTGTCACTAAGCCTTATTAAGTAATTGTTTGTTTAGATTTATCTAATGTTTATCATTTTGTTTCAATATTTCACTGTGATGTATCTAAAAGGCAAAAATGCAACTTGGAAGCTTTAAATGTATGCATTTATTCAGGAGATTTATATGCTGCACTACCCAAAAAAGGGAATCTTCCAGTTAAGTCCATAAAGTCTGAAGAAAAATATGCTTCCCAAAGTACGCCAACAACCTCAGAAACTCCACTGCACCCCAACCACTCATGCTTCCCCACCTCTAGCCCAAGATAGTATACCCCCGGTCCAGTCCTGTCCATGATTCCAAAGTTTCCAAACTTCCACTCACATATAGGTCCTGTGCAGACAGAAACACTCTTCCCCCTATACCTCATCGCAGACCCACTCCCACTTTCCTCCCCCTCCCCCAAAATCCTCCCAAGCCTGCACTCTCCTCCCCCAATATACAAACCACTCAAGGGGCTGTGACTGCTTTCTCAAACCCACTAATCTTTCCCCTCACCCCAATATACAAACCACTCAACTCAACAGACAAAAGGAAGCAATGAAAGTCCCTCTGCCCTCAACTCTGTCATTGCCAAAGGACACCCTTGGGTATCACCATTTGAAAGTGCCCTAAGCAAACCACCAGCTCTGTAGGGAATACAGTCTGGCCTGGTTCCTATCCCTCTAGTTCAGATGGCCAAGACAGTGCATGAACTGGATCCCAGCCCAGGTTTGGTGCCATGGAACAGTGGTGTAACTAAGGAGGGACAACTTGGGAGCTAGGAGGGAGAAAAGAAGCAGCTGCTCCTAGGAACCACATGTTCACATCACTGCAGAAATCACTGCCTCTGCTTTGTCCCAGGCACACTGCTACCACAAAATCCACAAAAGATCAATAATTACAAAAGAACTGCCAATGTAATTCACCTGCAGATGACCATAACCCTAAATCTAATTTGTGAAGTCACCAGAAAAAAGCCCTGAATTTAAAAAATACTCCTGTAAACAAGCAATACTCCATCAAAGAAAAGAAAACTTGGGTAATCAATACATAATCTTTTTTATTGGATCTTAAAGCAAAATAGATTTTTCAAATGTCAAAACTGAAAATAAAATATTTAAGAACTTTGAAGAAACAATGTTTAAAAAAAAAAGTTTTCAGTTGAAAAAAAGTGTTGTCTTAACCAAACTATATGAGTGACCCTCTTTGTTGCAACTTCTAAAAGACTAAGGTTAAGTGCAGGCATTCAAGAAGCCCATTGCAGAAGCACTCTAACTTTCAAGCTTTATCCTAAGTGCCCCTGTTTAGGTCGGGAGGAAGCAAAACACACATTACCCCTTGTTGGGGTGGAGGGGCATGGAACCTGCCTGTGTGGCCTGAGCATAGCGGGTAGGGGGCGGGCTCTTGCATGCCTTCCAGTATGCCCCACAGGCTCCTTGGGCTACTGAAGACTCCCAAACAGAGCCAAATGCACCCACCTGGACCTGATGCAGCAGCAGCTCATCATGGCATGTTCCCTCATGGCTACATGCCCCCCACGTGCCCACTCTGCTGGCCCTGCCCCTGCCGTGTGTGTGTGTGTGTGTGTGTGTGTGTGTGTGTGTGTGTGTCTGTCTGTCTGCCTGCCTGCATTTGTGCATGCAC